GAACCTTGAACCCCGCGTTGCCTCAAATACATAGACTTCCCAGGTATTGAAATTCAGGGAGGTGCTCTTTGAAAGATCTTTTTCCTCCCTTTTTGAAATCAGGTGTTGTGTTCCTCAGTTACCGAGACCTTCGAAAAGAAAAATACAATACAGAATATCCTGAAAGAGTTGAAAGATGGGCCTCTGAGAACAGTATGAAGCTCTCTCTGTGAGGGTCAAGTAGTAACAACAAAACTAGCCTCACAGTAAATATTGGAAATAGACTGATGGAGCGACAGACCTGGAGAGGAAGGAAAAAAGAAAGTCCTAGATTTAGTACAGAAGTGAATGAACCATCTCTGTAAGAGATGCTATTGTCAATGTGAAAACGATGTTAAGATGTGTTAACAGGAACATGGCAGGCAGCACTGGGCCTTCATCCAGGCTCATTCAGCCTTGATCAAGCCTTTATGATGTCCAATTTTGGTTTCCTGCTTGAAGAGTTGTTACAGTTCAGGCTGATATTAAAAGAATGGAAAATAGGCACTGGCATCTAGCCTAGAAAGGACGAGCTATGGGATGATTTAATACCTGTGGCCCTGATAGAGATAAGTGGATTTCTATTTCAGCAACAGGAAGTGTAGTTCAGTAACAGAATAAATTGAGCATAAGAGCGATTAAACACCGGGGCCTTGATCACAGGATGTCATCTTTGAAGTATAGTTCTTCAGTCCTGCTACTTGCAGAGTACTGTTCACTTTCTATCTTGCATTAGAATTGTTGCACGCATATCTTACCTTCCTTTGGGGCTGACCTTCTCATCTTTGGATCCCCTACCTACAGCAGGTCCCTAGATGACTGGCTCGTAGTAAATATTCAAATGGTGTTAAGTGCGGAGGGGCAAGGGGGGAACCTGTTGGGACAAACTACATGGCCACCATTATAAGGGAGGTAAGAGAGTGTAGCGCCCAAGACCTGTTACAGGCCTACGGACAAATCATGCAAAGAATAGTTCAGAGAATTGTGTCAGCAAAGGCCACAGGATACTAGTGAAGGACAGGTTGTTGCACGGAAAGAGTATGGTGAGGGATAAACGATGACTTTCCATAGCAGTCCTCCAGCCCCAGCCAGCCCACCACAGATCCCTAAAGGAAGACAAAACTGGAACTAGGAAGGCATTAACAAAGATACAGTGGGGCAGGAGAGGCAAGGAAAAGGCACTACTGGAAGGTAGAAAGCAGAAGAAAGAAGGGGCATCTTTAATTTCTGCAATGGGACCTGGATAAAGGGAGGAGGATTTCATGGGAAGATTTCTTAGGAGGACGCATTAAAATGCACTATCACCAGCCAGTACAAAGCAGTATCATTCAAGTGCACAAGTTCAGTGCTGTGGAGGTAGTGAGATGCCATGAGCTGTGGAGGGCAGACTACAAGGGGCCCGTGGAAAGTAGGAAAGAGGGTCTGCTTGCAGATATGTAGTTAACCCCTTCCCTTCCATTCCTATCCACCCCTTGATGAGTAGCTGTCTAGGTAAGATGTTACATCTTGCAATGAAGCAAATGCCTCATTCTAAGGATAGAGAGTCTGAATTTCTTTATAAGAAAATATTTTTCAGGAGGCTTTTTAAAAACTCCCTTTAAAATATTGAACTGTTGCCTCTCAAGTGCATAGATGTCTTTGGGGTTTAAGTTTCTGTAGGAAGTAAGTGGCTGTTTGTGTGCGTGTGTGTGTGTGTGTGTGTGTGTGTGTGTGTCTCTAAAATGCATTAGGCCAGTACACAGGCGCTTCCCACATGCCTCTCTTTTCCCTAGGGAATTGTTCCAAGGTAGAAGCTGTTCTCAAACAACCATTGCAGACTATAAAGTCTGGAACAGATCATGTGGTCCAGTCTCCTACCTCCATGAAGTTACTTTTTTAAATCATATTTTATTAATAAAGAACCACCCTGTGGTGGGAGCTATTCCCTTCTATCGCACTGACCTCCTTCACACCTTCTCAGCACAATGTCTCTTTGATTAAAAAATTAAAGTATCCAGAAATGAAGGATGCTGTGAGTGATTTGAGACTGGCCCAGACTTCCATTTTCCCTACTAAAAGAGTCCTGAAATGTCCTACGTGTGATCCCCGCTATTTTGCTGAAGGATGGATGACTGCCTCAGTTGTTCATGGTGCCAGTTCTGGAAGCTGGACGCCGAGTACCCCTGTCTGTGCTACAGGGTGAAAGCACATATGTCTGCTGGTCTCTGCAGGAACACAGTGCTGTTCACAAATGAATCTTTGGTATGTTCTTCCTAATTTCTCTCTTCTTTCCTCTCCAGCCCTGGCTAGCCGGACCCCAGAGGGCTACCTGGAAGTTGTTGTCTACGCCAGCCCTGCTCTTAGCTCATGATTCACTTCTCTCCCCGCCTCTCAAATGCATCCAGTCTCCCTTTCATGGGCCTTTGTGTTCTTCCTATTCCCCACTGGTGTCTGACCCAGGTCCAAAACGCACTTCTCTCTTCACTGTCATCATGTCAGTACCCTACTAAGTAGCATGAGTTATGACACCTGCTAGTTTTACTATCACAAACTGAAGACAGATAGCTACTTCCCAGATGCATTCCATTAATAACAAGGGGCCAACAAAGAGTGTGCATGATTTCCCTCTTCTTATCTTTACAGCCAGGAAAAGAGCTTTGTGGATAGCCTTTATACAGCTTGCCATTAGCATACTTTTAGTATATAATGTCAGCATATCAGGAAGATTTCTAAATTCTTGCTCTCCTCCATGGACGGTAAGCTGTGTGTGTGTGTGTTGTGTGAGAGAGAGAGAGGACTGGCCTGGAAGAATCACAGAATTTTTTCTAAGCTACTCCATTTTATGAGCTTGTTTCAAATATACCAAAACTATACTTGCCACCTCAAAACTGCAGTGTATTGGGAAGAGGGGGACATCAGGAGTTGAAACGAATTCTCAAGGGCAAATGAGTCCCATAATCAAATATATTAGTTTCCTATCACTGCTGTAACAACCACAAACTTGGTGGCTTCAAACAGCACAAACTGATTCTCTACCGCGCTAGAGGTTCGAAGTCCAACACAGGCCTCACTGGGCTAAAAATCAAGGCGTGGGCAGGGCTCCATTCTTCTGGAGGCTCTAGGGGCGAATCCATTTCCTTGCCTTTCCAGCTTCTAGAGGCTGGCCTCGACCTTGGACTCTTGGCCCCCTTCCTCCATCTTCATCGCCAGCAATGTGCATCTCCCTAACCATTCCTCTTTAGTCACATCTCTCCCTGACCACAGCCAGAGACGGTTCTCTGACTTTAAAGACCCATGTGATTAGATTGGGCACATCTGGAAAATCCAGGATAATCTCCATCTCAATGCCTGTAACTTAATTACATCGGCAGAGTCCCTTCTTGCCATGTACTTTTCATAAATTCTGGAGATTAGGACATGGATGTCTTTGAAAGGAGCATTATTCTGCCTGCTACAGCAAAATACTGAATTTTTTGAAGGGAAAAAAATTAAATGGGCAAACTTGGTGGAAAGGGGAATAGCAAAATGCCTCAGTACATGTTTCTATCTCAGCTCTGGAACAATCAACTCAAGCCAAGTCAGTGAGTTTTCTATTAAGTCCTTTTGTATGAAGGCAGACATAGCTCTGTTTTTATGAGTGGTTCACGCACTTTATACAGTCAACATATGTTGAGTGATGATATGTATAATCAAAGAGATATTTAAATGTGTATGTATCATGATATATGGAGATAACTTTGAAATTCACTAAACTATATTTACTCTAGAAACCATGACTTTGATGACAGCATAGTATTTAAGCAGGAAAACCACCCAAATTTTCCAGGGACTTGAAATGGCAAGAGCATGGAATCTAACGGCATTAAACTCCTTTAAGCTGAGCACAAGAGCCCCTCCTGTGGCTCTCCTCCATGGCGTCGGGTGACCTGTTCAAACGCTCTGTGCTTCTGAGCCCTTGTTTGTGACAAGAAACCTCTCCAAGATGTTTTTCATGCTGTGAAGGGGCTCTCAATGTGTGTAGCTGATTGCTTCTCCCGCTGTTTACCCAAAGAATCATCTCAGCCCTCTGTTGTGGAGATCTGACTTGTTCTGCTCATCTGACAGAAAGCCTGTCCCATAAGTATCCGCCTTCCCCAGCACCAGTCTGTCCATTGCCTGTTGGAGATGAAGAAACGCTCGTCACTCAAGCCCAGATGGAGAGTCGTCCGTCTCCAGATAGAATCAACACCACCCCCTCCTCAGGGGCTGGGCTTTGGTTGCTTCCCAAACTGTTGCTGACCGGGCTCCCTTGCCTGGCTTGGCTGATGAGATCACCACACCAGAGTGCCCTGGGTACAGACCAGGCCGGCTGTCGCAACATGTTCCTAGGCAGGCTGTTGCCCTCATTTTACTGAGGAGCGTGAGCACCAAACACCCCGTATGATCCAGCAGTTCACTGACAGCGCCGTCTCTCTTCTCCCCTTTGCCTTTGGTTTGCATTTTTATATCCTGCATCCATCTTTCCCTGGATAAAAGGCATAAGAGGGGTTTCTCAGATTTGATTTCTCAGTGGGAACTGTTTGCTTTGGAAAGCACCTACACCGATGCTAATTGAGAACAGAGCTCAGAATGAGGGCCTGAGAACTGCACCCCTGTGAACTTTTTGGTGGGCTGATTTCTACTGATCTCTTCTGCATTGGATTGTGCAGGCAAGTGATACCATGATCAACTATTTTCCAAAAGGCTGAGCACATTGATCAGTGTCCTTTCCTTTGACTAGTTCTCTACCTTGGAATAATTATTTGTAATTAATCATAAAAGGTCTTCATCATGAAAGCTACTGAGAATCCTGGCCCCTACTACCCAGTAATAACAGTCTGGAAATCTCCAAGTAATCTGTGCCCTTTACAGTCTAAACAGGATGGGCCTCTATTAGAGAGATTACAGTAAAAAATAACAATCAGCTCTCTGATGATCCTATGCGGAGGGAAAGGGTGGGGAGGAGTAGATTTGGCAGAGGACAAGCCCAGACTTTCGTCACAGGGACAGACCAAAGTGTTAACACAAAGGGAGAACACGGGAGCATCCTGCACCCTACATTTCAGCCACAGAAAATATGGCACCTCCGGGCGGCCGGCCCACGCCCTGACCGCCGGGAGGGTCTCAGCACCCCCAGCAACCCGCCGCCCCTTCCAGCTGCGGACATGCTCGGGGGATCGGGATTGCAGGGAAGACGCAGCCTGGCCGCGCTCTCCCAGTGAGTGCTCATTTTGCCTCTTCGGTTTACATTTTTCTTTCTTTCTTTCTTCTTCTTCTTCTTTTTTTTAATGAAGGAATTGTTTAAAAAAGAAGAAAAAGGAAAGGAAAGGAAAAAATTTAATTGTGGGAGTGGGAGGGGAGAGGAGAAATCAGGAGGCAAAGGCAGGCGGGCAGTATGTAAATTTCAGACCTGTATGAAACTTTCTGGTCTAAACTTTATGGTGGTTCTAATTGGTTTTCCTCATTGCCATTTTTATGGTGGCTTGTAGACCCTTTGCAGGGGTTTATGCCTAGGCACAGGATTTCTCTACTGCAAATACTGATCCACCAAGTATTGTGTTTCTAAAGATCTGCTGTTAATTTAGACCTGAGCCCTTTGCTCAGAATGATCCGTTTGCAGGAATCAGAGATTTTGGCTAAAGCACACATTGCCCAATCCTTAAAGTCAACCGCCCAAAGCCCTTAATATACTGACCATCTGACTGTGACCAAACAAGATTGAGAGCACATGCAATTGATCAGGGAATTGTTCAGATAACAGACTCCAAGGTTTAGGATCATGAAACCCTGGAATGTTAAAGCTACAAGGGGCCTCTAGGATTGTTTGCTGCGATGTTCTCATTCTATAGACAAGGAGGTGAAACCCAGAGGGGTAACTCAACTTACTCAAAGCCAGACAACAGTCAGTAACGAAGCCAATGTCTTTGTAGTCGCAGGCAAGAGCCCTTTTCATGTTGGTGTTTATGAGGTTTGGAAAACTGACTGGGTCTTGGGAAAAGGTACCGCACAAGAGTGAGACTACCAAATGGCCTTTCAGTAAATCTTTCTCATTTTTGAGAGTTTTGGCACCGATTCAGCATGACAATTGTTCCAGTTGTTCCAGCATTTGTGCAACAGTTAATCAAATAAACAGAGGGACTCAGTGGGGTCCTAAAAACGAGACCTACCTCCACCACATTAGCAGATCTCTTGGATCACCCCTTTCTGTAAGTGTGATCACTCAAGTGTGAGAGCTCCAACGGGTTTTAGAGGTTATCTGTATAGGCCAGTGGTTATCAAACTAGTTGTTTTGGGTTTTTTGTTTGTTTGTTTTTTAGCAAATCTATTGTTACAAGGAATTCTGTTACATAAAGGAGATGTTCTGGTTGAATGGGTGGGTTTGGATCTAGAGCTCCTCACCCCTATGACACTCCCAAATCATGCCCCATTGCTTACCTCCGCTCCACTCCCTATCTTTTCCCCACCCCACCCTACTCTGCCCACTCCACCAAAACTTCCTTGGAATCCTGGATCTCCATGGAACTGTTTGGAAACTGCTGGTCTTGTTTAATTCCTTTATTTCAGTTGAGGAAAGTGATGCACACAGGGAAGGGTCTGCCCAGTGTTACACAGCTGGCCAACAACAGAGCCTGGGATGCTGGGAAAGAGCCCCGGCTGTGTGTCTGCACACACACAAATGTCCTGTGTTTCTCTCTCAACCCCCAGGTTCTGGCTTTTCCCACTCCATCATGCCTTTGGTTCTGTCAGTTTACTTTCTCCATATCTCTCTCACTCTTCATTCACTCCATCATTTCCTGAATTTCAACAGTTACTGCCTCTCACATGGACGATTATAATTGCCTCTCATCTCATCCTGGCCTCAGTCTCTCTCCCTTTCTGATCCTGTCCGCTCCCCCCTCCTCCATCCCCTTTGAGGATGGAACCCCTTCTCCTTAATGTTGCATTCAAAGTTCTCTACATTCTGGGGTGCCTGGGTGGCTCAGTCAGTTAAGCATCTGCCTTTGGCTCAGGTCATGATCTCAGGCTCCTGGGATCAAGCCCCACGTGGGGCTCTCTGCTGAGCGGAGAGCCTGCTTCTCCCTCTCCCTCTGCCTGCCGCTTTTCCTACTTGTGTTCTCTCTCACTCTGTCAAATAAATAAATAAAGCCTTAAAAAAAAAAAAAAAAGGTCTCTACAGTCTGCCTCAGTATCCCTTGTCATTTTGACCTGCCCCTGCTGCAGCTGAGTCAGACCACTCACTGTTCCCCAAATTCATTGGGTGCAGGCCACCTCCATGCCTTGGTTCACTCTGTTCCCTACACGGGAACACTCCGTGTGCCTCAGTCCCCTCATCTGGAATAAAGGCCTTAAACAAGATTAGGGTTTCCTGAACTATTCCATGGAAATGTGGGATTCCAGTGAAGTTTTAGAGGGGGTAGGGTGAGGTGGGGTGGAGAAGCGAGGGGAGTGGGGTGGGGATGAGGAGGTCTACCTCACCTGCTTCTGACTACTTCCCTCCTGTCCTTCAAGGCCCCAGTCAAATAGTACCTTCCTCCACAAACCTTCCTCAGTTCTGTTTTCTCTCTATGCTAGTAAGTTATGTCCAGCCTTCTATGATTAGCCTTGTACTAAAGTTAGGGGTGAGCATGGCTGTCCTCCCCAATTTATTTACGGGCCGGAACTATTTAGATCTTTGAATCTTCAGGTTCCAGTGTGGTGCTGATGCAAAAGAAAATCTTTAAATGTCCTATTATTGGGTAAACCAAACTCAGTTTATCCAAGTTCACACTTCTCGTTTGATTCCTTTGAACACAGGAAGCTTCTGCACTTTTTGCTTTAGGAGAAGTATTAGGTTAGATGCCTAAACAGGTGCCCAATGGAATGATTTCTAAATCCCTTTACATTTGCATCAGATAATTTATCTGAGTTTCATTGCCTACAGAGCAAATACAGAACAAGTGGGTTTTGTTTTGTTTTGTTTTTTAACGAGGCACATTGAAATTTCCGAATGCCAAGACCTGCACAGAGCCATGTTATCTTCGGGGCAGGTGTGAATGGCCTCTCAGTTCTTTGGATTTCAAGGTGCTGTGTAATCTATTCCTGGTGAGATTATTGAGAGATACTGTCACTTGCAATCTAATATTTTTACTGCTACTTTTCTCATTTTCCCAAAGCCCTCATGAAGTCTCCTTAAGTCAGAATTTCACGTTTCTTGTAAATATCCATGCTTTAGTCCATTAAGAGTTATGTTTCTCATAAAGAAGTATGCTTTTATATATCCTGATGATGAAAAAGTTTTGTTCTTATGTCACATTTTGTAACAAATGTGGAAGGGGATATAAAGTTTAAAACCGTGGAATCCAAAAAGCATAAGAAATTATATAGGAAATGAGTCTCACTTTATGCTGCTTCTCACGTGCCTCCCAGCCCATCAAAAATGGCTTTGCAGAGGCAGGTCCAGCTGCAGCAAGAGGACTGGGGTCAGGGGAGGTGCTCCTCTGCCATCTGGAGGCTCATTTGCTCCTGGCATTCCTAACTGGAATGATGAGGATGCGTTTTTCCCATGGAAACGCAGCCTTGCTTCTCAGTATTAGTTTCAGATACATCTTGGGCTTAAAAAGGTGGTTGTGGGCTGGCCCGAGTTCCCAACTGCCATGTATAATGATGTTTGAAGTTCCAAAAACCAATTTGCAAATTAAGGTTTGGAAACAAGCTTTTCGTAAATGTAGGACTGCTTGGATTCATTTCCAAGCCTAATTGAATTTTTAAGAGGAGCCTTTAAAAATCTGTAAACCTGACTCATTTCCATGCATTCATTCAACAAATATTCATTGAAGGTTTTCTATGCCAGTTAGTGGTGCTGGACTAAGCGCTAAGAACATAAAAAAGGACAAAACACAGGTTCTGGCTTCACAATGATTTAGTCTTTTAACCTCTCACCCGCTGCAGGACTGTAGGAAACTTTTCTCAGCCCTCCCGCCCCACACAACGCACGAATTCCCTGGTCCGCTCAGGGCTGTGGCTACTGGCAGAGCAATCTGGCCACCTGACCAGTGTTAGCTATGTTAGTGTTTTCCTCTTTCCTTTTTTCTTCTGACCTTCTGAAAGAAATACAAGTTTCTTTTAACTTACACCTAAGGTAACTTAAGTACAATAAACTTAAGTTCGTTTTGTGACTCAGTATCATATGTATATACACACACATAAATGTATTTGAAACAAATAGTTTACAGAACAGTGCGCACTCTTACTATGTACAATGCCCTTGGATATTTCTTTTTTTTTTTTTTAAGATTGATTTATTTGAGAGAGAGAGTGTGAGTGGGGGGACGGGCAGAGGGAGAGAGAGAGAGAGAGAATCTCAAGCAGACTGCACACTGAGTGTGGAGCCCGAGGTGGGCCTCAATCTCAGGACTCTGAGATCACAACCTGAGCCAAAATCAAGAGTCAGATGCTTAACCGACTGAGCCACCCAGGTGAATGTATATTTCTCTTTTCTTTTAAGTTGTACTGCAGATTTCTCTTGTTTTCAACTTTATTGAAAGTTGAATCTTGGCATAATTGGCAGATAAAGTTGTAATCTTTTTTTTTTTTAAGATTTTATTTATTTATTTGACAGAGACAGAGATAGCAAGAGCGGAAACACAAGCAGCAGGAGTGGGAGAGGGAGAGCAGGCTTCCCGCCGAGGAGGGAACCCGATGTGGGACTCGATCCCAGGACCCTGGGATCATGACCTGAGCCGAAGGCAGTCGCTTAACGACTGAGCCACCCAGGCGCCCTAAAGTTGTAATATCTTTAAAGTGTACAGCGTGGTGATTTGATAGACATATACATCGTAAAAGATTCCCCCCATCAAGTGAATTAACATGTGCGTCACCTCCCATATTTACCTTTTTTTTTCTTCTTTCTTTTTTGGTGAGAATAGTTAAGTTCTACTTTCTCAGCAAATTTCGGTTCTACAATACAGTATTATCTGCTATAGTCACCATGTTATAGGTTAGATCCTCAGACCTTATTCATCTTATAATATAACTGAAAGTGTGTACCCTTTTACCAGCCTCTCCCTATTTCCCCCACCATCCAACCCCTGGCAACCACCATTCTAGTTTGACCTGTTTTTTCTCTCTAATTCCACGTATAAGTGATTCCATACAATATTTGTTTTCCTCTGTCTGGTTTATTTCACTCAGCATAATGCCTTCCAGGCTCATCCATGTTGTTGCAAAGGGCAAGATTTC